TTATGAGGAATTAATTTTCCGTGTGGGGGCTGTCGACTTTTCACCCCGTCTTGTTGTGGGTTGCACCATGCTTTTTTCCCGGCTTTTTTGTTCGGGGCCGCGCGCCCCCCCTTTTTTTTTCCCTTTTTTTTTTCCCCCCCCCCCCCCCCCCTTCTTCAATTATTAGAACACTATATGATTTTTCTTCCCCAGTTAAAAACCACAGTTTTGTCCCCTGACATTATTTCAAGCACTAGATCGAACCAGTGTCGTCGTCTTGAGGAAGTTCGAACATATCCGGTGCAACTCTTAAACTGCCCTACAATTGGTGTTTAGGATTAAATGGAATCGAAATCGATTGTGGCCGTCGTACTGATGAAGAGTCACGGATTATCAGATACTTCCAGCTCCTTAATTAATGATCTGCAGTTTGTATATGTTGTGGTTCAGATTTATCCCTGGTTTGAAGTTTTATTTCCCTTTGTTTGAAACTCATTATAACGCATTACCATATCCAGAAACAAAGGAAAATAAAATTTAAACCAAGGATAAAATTAAATTACAACATATATACCCTTTGAATTGGAAAATACCTGTGAAAGACCTAAACTAAGACGTAGTACAGGCATGTAAATAAACATGTCGTCCTGGGATATTGTTCATTAAAACTGTGCCATAACTTGCTATAAATATTGTTATATAATGCAATAGTAGCTTTAATGTAAATTACAATAGGCTTTGCTGAATCAGGGGCACCCAACGACAATTTTCGGAAAATATCTGTTCGGAAGACGATGTGAGATCTAGAATTTTCGGAACATTTGTTGTAAAATTTCTTGCTTGGCTGCCTCTCCTAGGATTTTCGAACATCTAAAAAATGGTATACTTGCCTATTTTTAACGGATTTTTACCCTAAAAAGGTCACCTAGAATTTTCGGGAGCCTTTTTTTTGGCTGGAATTTTCCAAAAGGTAAGTTTTGATCCCTATAATTTTCGGATCACTAGACTTTCAGCTAGGAAATCCGAACAGATGAAAAATTTTTAGGGGATAAAAATATGCCTATANTACCTGTGAAAGACCTAAACTAAGACGTAGTACAGGCATGTAAATAAACATGTCGTCCTGGGATATTGTTCATTAAAACTGTGCCATAACTTGCTATAAATATTGTTATATAATGCAATAGTAGCTTTAATGTAAATTACAATAGGCTTTGCTGAATCAGGGGCACCCAACGACAATTTTCGGAAAATATCTGTTCGGAAGACGATGTGAGATCTAGAATTTTCGGAACATTTGTTGTAAAATTTCTTGCTTGGCTGCCTCTCCTAGGATTTTCGAACATCTAAAAAATGGTATACTTGCCTATTTTTAACGGATTTTTACCCTAAAAAGGTCACCTAGAATTTTCGGGAGCCTTTTTTTTGGCTGGAATTTTCCAAAAGGTAAGTTTTGATCCCTATAATTTTCGGATCACTAGACTTTCAGCTAGGAAATCCGAACAGATGAAAAATTTTTAGGGGATAAAAATATGCCTATATCTACCGTTTAAATACTAAAATACGTTTAACAATGTTATGTTTAAGTGGTTTTGAACTATATTCTCGTTGGGTGCCCCTGCTGAATGCGACATAATGTAATTCTTGATCAACAGATGGAGTTTTTGAAACGAATACAAACCTTTGACACGCTCAGTAAGGTCTAGCAATAGGAAATACGGGACAACAAACATGAATTAAATACGTTGGGTAAATGAACTGCTTTTGATATATGTATAGCTATGTATGTATGTCTGGCCCAAAGAATCCAGTTTCCTCAAAGCAAATGCAAAAAAAATAGAACTAAGAACGACCAAGGTGAAATAAACCGCAATAAGTTCGCCTGATAAGCCAAAAAAAAGGAGGAAAGAGATACAAAAATTGGCTGAATCGGAAAATACTGGCGACTAAATGCGGTATTATTAAAACTTGCTTTCAATTCTTGTTAGGGCTCATGGTGTAAAAGAGCGTAAAGAACATTCCCAGGAGAAATTCAACGCTTTGGAATTACAAAATGAATCTAAACATAGCAAAATTCCAGACGTACAAAAGTTGTTCGTCACTGCAAAATTCTTATTTCTTGCAGTGGTGCTAATTCACCACAATTAGGCAATTTTAAATATCAGAATTTTTATTGCACGAAAACAAATATTGTAAGAAGTATGTTAACCGTAAATCTATAAAGAGTGTGTCAAATATTGGACTGATATTCTAAGTTCACGACAGCAATGCATGGTCGCCTTTAAGGTTACCCCTTTTATAAAGCTGGCTCTGCAAGAGGCAAAATGAAGTTAATTCTTTGTTCTGTTTGGTTACCCGAGTGGGTTAAGATGGGCATCGCTTGCCTGCTCGGGACTATTAATCCATTCACCTAAGAGTTTTCTTTCTGCCAGTTATTAATTATGTATCCTTTACTTTGCAAGCTTGTTCGTTCAAGATGGCCGGATGTTGGCCACGACCTTTGTCTAGGTCTTTAAATAACGCAAAATTAAAAAAAAACAAAATGATATGATTAAATGAAAAAAAATAAAATGAAGTAAAGAAAAGAGAACTTGCACCGGGTGATTTGACCTCACGCTTGATGAACAAAGCGTACACGCCTATTACATAGAGACAATGAAAGAGTCGTCGACAGAATTGACCTCTCCAGAAAATACCATAACATACCATAATGCTCTTTGTTTGTCGCCCCAAAGTTTTGCATAAGCATTGTCTAAAGTTTCTCTTGGGAGTTAAAATGGCCCCAAGAGAAACTGAAAACAATGCTTATGTAAAATTTTGGGGTGACAAACAAAGAGCATTATGGTATGTTGTGGTATTTCTGGAGTGCGGTCAATATCTAGGAAAGCACTTGATAACATCGACCTAAACCAGATGAGTCATCGATATGTCAGACTGCATTGTACTAGTCGCGTGTTGGTCGTTTGGGCACAAATAATATTAAAGAACCGTGTGTTTTAGATATCACCAAAAGGCAATTACTTGATAACGGCTGGGCTGAATGACAGCGATTCCTTGAACTCTCAGAAATCTGTGGCAACCTTCGGTGATTCTCGCTCTATGGTTTGGCCAAGTTTACTGTCTAACATAATTAATTACTGGGTCGGAAACTCTATATTACAATTTATATATGTTCACTGTTTCCCTGGAAATACTTGCAGTCATTAATTTAATTTTAACATGCTTAGCTTATTGCCAACATCACACCGTATTACAAAGTGATTTTTTTTTATTTTCAGTTAACGAACGTTGCTTACTGTTAAAAATACACCTGTTTGCCTCTTCTGTGAGGTATTAACCCCTGAGAGTTTTGTTTGGATCTCCACGATTCTTTGCGCACGTCTTTTTGCACCATGATTGAGTTGGGCTTTTAAAGAAAAAAGCCCCACCAACTCTTACTGAACCGTAGTAGACGTCTGCAATCCTCTTGCACGCCCAGCGTTTGGCCCCCCCGAATCTGTCACACACCTTCTTCATGTCGTGCTGAAATGCTTTGTCGCATTGGTCTCGCTCCCACCCGTAATGTCGACCCTAAAAGAAAGAAAGAAAGAAAGAAAGAAAAGCTTTGTTTTCCTGCCCTTTAATGTGCAGGCAATCAAAAAATCATTTTCGATTATATAATGGAATCTATTTGTTTTATTTAATAACAGAAAAAAAATTAATAAATAAAAGGAATGATAAAAAGAAATCCTAGCCCTGGGATGTTGCAGTATTTTAGTTTTCTAATTTTGCAAAATTTAGGCATCTCCCAAACTTTTTGTTGTCTAAACTTTTTTCCTGCACTTACATTTGCTCCATCTGGAATAATTGTGTAACAGAGAAGAACAAAAAACACCGCCAAAAAATTCTTTATGTCGTTAGTGTTCTCTAATAGATAATAGGCAACGACCGATACGAAAACGCCCTTCAATATTCAGTGAATTCTAAAAATAAAAATTGGCAAATATTAAGGAGTTAAATTTAGTTTGTCTTAGCTCCAATTTTGTACTAGCCACTCAAAGATATTTATGATATTGTTGTATTTTGGTCACTGTAGTTTTCAGGCATATTAATCTATTTATTTGTCGTTTGTTCTAAATTTGGGTTTTTTAGTATGGCATCATGTATTTATTTATTTATCTTTTGTTCTGGATTTGCGTATGTAGCATCCAACTGTTAATTTGCGTAGTTAAGCTATCCTTATTTATGAAAGTGAGACATTGTTGCCGTCATTCTGATAAATTTGTAGTAAGAAAATGAAGCAAGTCTTACACAGTAGTAGCAGACATCGTGTTTGTCACAAGCTGGTTTAAATGTCGCCTTGTAGGCGAATGGAAGGTCTCCTGGTATAGAGCAGCCATTGGTTTTTACGTAGCACGAGGTCACTTCTGTCGTCGAGAACAATACAACGAACAGACTAAGCAAGGCGCACAAGGAGGCGATTCTCATGGCGATGTCAGGCAGACCGGGAGAGAACCTTAAAAACAACAGAAAAAAAGCTAAAAAAATAATAATAACAAATCCACCTGATTATTCAAACGAACCCTGGTTTCTCTTCCTCAAATTCTAGATCAAGCAAATTTCTTCTTCTTAAAGAGGTTCGAATGATTAGAATACCATTGCATAACAACACTGAACACTGAACACTGAACACTGAACGTCACAAAATAACTCGCAACATAGGCATTTATGCAGGGGCGGATCTAGGGGGAGGGTGCAGGGGGTGCGCACCCTCCCCTGAGATGACCTACGGTTTTCTAATACAACTGGTATTCTGCAGAAAAAAAAACTATGTGGTTTATTAGTGTTGAAGTAGAGAAAGAGACGAGTGCACCCCCTCCTAAAAAAAAACCTGGATCCGCCGCTGTTATGAGACTGTTGGTTCGGAATGTTTTACAGAAAAACTGTGCTAAAAATATACTCATTTAGTGTAAGAAAACCTAATGGAGCACCAAGGAGATGTACGTGCATAAACCGTACATACGTCTAGTGGTGAGATTATTTAACAGGAGGAATTGACAACATGATAACAACGAGCGAATTAAGTTTTCCCGATCGGTAACAAAGTTGCTAAGGACTCAGAAATTACTAGAGGCTGAGTGTGGCATTATTAAAGCTTAATTGAAGGGTTCGTGATTATCGTTAAACCGGCCCAAGTTAAATTAGAACGGTTGGGAAATTAGTTAACTGGAAACATACCGAGATCCAAGATTTCGTCACAGGATCTTCTTGCTTCTGGTAGTGTTGCTTATTAACCGCAATTTGGTAACTTTTGAATTTGCTGAGCTTTTTTATTGAACGAAAACTAATATTGGAACAAATGATATTAAAAAGCAAGTGTGTCAAATATTGGAGTCCTAATATTTGGGTATTGCACTCACGTGATTGCTAACGAAAGGAACTTACGTCATATAGTATTACTTATAACTCTCCATGCATAGTCCTCGTTTCAAGCATCCCTGAACACTATTTTTAAAAAATTCCGACGCAGAATTAGTTTAGCAACCTAGTTCAGCGCGAGGTTTTGTTACAAAGGCAAAATTCCATTAACCTACATGTAAGACATCATTTTCCCTTCGTTACCTTTTTTTTAACTAGCGTCAGTAATTCAGTCATCAAAATGAATGTGTAATCTTTTCAGAAATATAAACTAATATATGATAACCAATATAATTGTAACTTTTGTGTGGTCAATATGTTGGCCAAAAAGCTCATGTTCCGTGCGCTCGCTTTTTCGACATTCATTGAACCAAAAAATGGGAACAATGCTCCATGATGACTCCAGTAGACCATTTAACAGTTATCCTAGCCATTGAATGAATGTGAGGCTGAGGTTGACCTTGTTTTGATATAAACCTCCTTCCTTTTCTTATGGAAATTATGTTTGAAAGATAGTAGTCAGCATAAGAACGGACGGGTTGTATCAAAACAAGGTCAAATCCAGCCTTGTTTCCCCCTGTAACTGTAAAAGAGACTATAGAGCGTTTTCGGTCACGTGCTCAGCAGCTATGCAAATTGCTTGGAATAAAAGAAAGTTTAAGCATGTGAAAAGAGTTCAATTCCCACTGGATTTTTTTTTTGTACACAAACATGGCCGCCGATTCATTGTTTTGTACAAACAGTAGAGCCAACAAGAGAGCGAAATTATCTTCGAAACAAATCATTTTGTTTTTGAGAAAAAAAAAATTCAATCATGTAAAAGGTTAAGATGTATTAGAATAATTTATCAGAGAGTTGTTAGGTAACCTTAAGCTCAGATAATAGACGATATTCGTATTCCCCGAGCCGGGACCCTGCTCTCTGAAGTGTCGTACTAACGCTCCGATTTCGCCCCTTGAAAAACCGTTTTTGTGTTTGTTTGTAACCAATCAGCGCCGACTTAGCGACGTAAACGATAGAAATCAGCAAAAAAAACTGTAAGATTTAAAAGCTGAAACCCGACGGGTAAGTTAAAGGGATATCTGTTTCAAAAAACAAAACTGTGGGAAGGGCTAATCGTACTAAGAGCAAAAGTTAAAAAGCCACGAAGCCAAAAGAAGAAACTAGAAGTAATCAAGAAAATGGTATATCGTGTCAAAATATCAATACTCGAATCCTTTTTATAAAATTTTATTCTTATTCTTATCCTTTTTTTCTTGTGTGTATCTGTAGTGTGGAGTTAAAACTGCTCAGTGTTATCGTCTGCACCAAACTCTAAATGGCGTCGGGGATTTTAAGAACATCTCTGTTTGTATTAAATTATAAACTCGCTCACCAAGCACTCTTCTCATCAATATAATTATAGTTAGGATCGCTGTTTTTCTTAGTAATAATGAGCAGATCTTCCTTTTGTTGTTTGAAATAATGATCTCTCAAGTATGTAAGCCCTTCGGAACTTTACAATGTTAAAGATTTTCCTTAAATTCGGCAAACTCAGCCGTAGTTTTTTCATATTTGTTTGTCCTCTGGCGAGAAGGTCCCCGCATGAGCCTCGCATTCATGATCAAGGCCCACTCGTCCCAGGACTGTCGGAGAACACGAATTCTGTCTATTGTAAAAGTGGCTGGTATTCCTCAAACTTAACTGCCCTCACTTAATTTCAGCATCACTAACTTCAAGCAGACAAGAGAGAATAATCATGAACTATTACATTAAAACATACAGCGACGTATATTGCCATGATCACAATATGGAATTACACTTTGTGCACGGTGGAAAGAAGCAAGTTGTAAAACTATTTTTTATCCGAACTCTGGTGTTCCTTGAAAACTGTTACGGAGAAATGTTCTGGCCAAGAAAAGACGACAGGAAACTCCTTCATTGCTATGGTCAGCATCTCTGGTTTAACTACCTCCCTGGTACTTTGATAAACCACTACAGTTTGAGCATTCGAGGACAAGATTCCTCAATATAGTTGAATCGGCTAAAACATTCGAACTCCTAATTCAAGTTATTAGAGAGTGCTACAACAACGTGTGCAACTGATCATCCTTGAAAATCTCCTTGGCACTATCTGCGGAAATATTGTCTGGTTCCAACAAGTTTCTTCTCTCCATGACGGAAATTTTTTAAACTATTATAATTAATGGTACTGTTTTCGTTAGTTTTAGCGCTAACACTGCCTAGGTTCATTCTTATTTTTGTCGTCGGAAGGCGACACTTATAAGTGGGGAATATGTGAGGGTACATTTTTGCTCAGTCTGCTTTATTGTTTGCGCTTCTCTTCGTAATCATCAATATTTATTCAGTATATTCTATTTATTTCGGTGTTGGGCATCTTAACTTTATCCAGGGATATTCGGTAATCAAAATTTCCACGATTATGTCAAATATCTTTTGTTAAGGGACAAACGATGGTGTTTACAAGCTGTCAGAACATCCGGACAAGCTTTAGATTCTACTAACAAGCCTTTGCTGCTCATTTAAGTCTTTGACTAAAGATTCTTGCACCGACCTCTTTGGTGTTGAGAAAAATCAAAAAATAGAAGTTGGACGCACGGTCAATTGTAGGAAACATAAGCGTGGTTTCAGTCTTTCGCAATTAAAGATTTAGCTGAGGTTAAGAAACACCCCTTCAAGCTTGTTTAAGAAACATAGGCTGAAACAAGTTCGATAGATCAGTAGAAATAATAACTTCCCTTAGCAGATGCATTCAGCCTTGGAATGGGAAAATAGGCGTTTTCTGTAAACGAATTTCGTTTAACTAAACCTGAAGATAGTTCTCACTTTCACTTCCAAACCTGAATCATAATCAGATTTCCTTATCTCATAAAAATCTTGTTGGGGCCACGCGACCCAACACCTTTTTAGCTGTTTGTTCTCAGTTGGGCTATTTTCAGCTAACTTTCACTCACCTTCCTACTTTCAAACTAGGGTTTCTTTCGACAGAATCTTAGGAAAATTTGGTTTCTTTCAAACCATCGTTTTAGCTTCTTGTATAGGAATTTGGCTATAGAGATATTTTCATGCAGTTTTGCAAATTTTTTTTCACGCGCAGCTAAATTCAACTTACTTCAGTATCTTTTTTTCTATCAGTTCTACCACCTCCTAACACCTATTTTTACGTCTAAGAGAACTATTGGCCTTTCTTAGAAACTACATAGCTTAATAGTTTACTATAAATACAACCACTTTGTACGCTTAACTTCGCTTCTTGGAACTTAGAAGAACCAAGAAGCTCAGGAATAAAACGTTGTTCAACTCAACTTCCTGTGTACCTCGACTCTCTCAAAATCTGTACCCTTAAACAATATACACTGTTATTACTGATATAGTAAAATTTATAAAATTTCTACAAACAGGTGCCCGTCATCTTAGCGATGCTTGGAGTCTGGTACAACAATTTCTTTGGTGCTCAGACGCATGGGCTCTTCCCCTATGACCAGGTGAGCTGTTTCTTTCATTTGTCTTCGTTGCAGCTTCAAGAAAACATTAACATTATCATTCTTGGAGCTGAAACTCCAATATGAAACATCATTCACTTTGTTTCCTATCCCTGGTCACTAAACTTCACCGCAAGCTTTTGGTATTTTGTGTAGGTGTAATAGATTGTCCGATTTCCTCCTGAGGGGTTCAAAATGTTACCACGCTCTGGGTACAGGTGGATAAAGGTAACGCCACGTGACCAGGAATCAACCAATGGCAGCCCCTGTTTACACCTTTTGCTGTTCATTAAGAGAAAATACGCATTCATTTACGTGAATTTTAGTCGGCAACCAACAGCGCGAAGATACATTCATTAGCGCGAAAAAGCGAACATTTGCGCATAAATCAGATTCAATAACGATTTTTGCATTCTAATCAACATTCAATAACATTTTTGGGCATTCATTTGCGTCATTCGACATACAAAAGGGAAAAATATACTTTCATTAACGCCAACGTTCGAGTCATTAACATTATCTTGAAAATCATTTGGGACAATAGACAAACATTTAAGTGCAAACGCTACTCATTAACATTTTTATGGCACTGTTTGCAATTCAACAGCATTCCTGGACAGC